TGGGAGGGTGGAGGGACAGCGCAGGAGGGGAAGACCCTCTATGAGATGGATTGATTCGGTGACTGGGGTAATCGGGATGGGTGTGTCGGAGGCGGTGCGATTGGCGCAGGATAGGGCAGGGTTTAGAGCTGTTGTGCATAGGGTCGCTATGAGTCGGAAACGACTCGATGGTACATAACAACAACAACCCTAGATGTGCTCATCAAGTTGTGCCAAGAAATCTGGAGAACAACCACTTGGCTAACTGACTGGAAGAGATCTATATTTGTTCCCATTCCAAAGAAAGGTGATCCCACAGAGTGTGGAAATTATCAAACAATATCATTAATATCACATGCAAGCAAGATTTTGCTGAAGACTTTCCCAAAACTGCTAGAATAGAACATCAACAGAGAACTACCCAAAGTGCAGGCTGAGTGTAGATGGGGCCTTGCCTGAAAGCAGAAAATACCAGAAGAATGTCTGTATTTGTTTCATTGATTATGCAAAGGCATTTGACTGTGTGAATCATAACAAAATGTGGCTAACTCTAAGAAGAATGGGAATCCCAGAACACTTGATTGTGCTAATGCGAAACCTATACATGGATCAGGAGGCAGTCGTCAGAACAGAGCAAGGAAACTCTGCACAGTTCAAAATTGGGAAGAGTGTACGTCAGGGCTGTATCCTGTCTCCAAACCTTTTCAATCTTTATGCAGAACAGGTTATGTGGGAGGCTGGGCTCTATGAGGAGAAATGTGGCACCCGGATTGGATTGGAGGAAGAATCATCAACAATCTGCATTATGCAGATGGCACAATCTTGCTTGCTGAAACTGAAGGGGACCTGAAGCACTTGCTGCAAAAGGTCAAGGACTGCAGTCTCTGGTATGGATTGAGACTCAATATCAAGAAAATAAAGATTCTCACCACTGGGCCGATTGGCAGCATAATGATGGATGGTGAAGAGATTGAGATTGTTCACAGTTTTGGTTTGCTTGGATCCACCGTCAACACTCTTGGCACCAGCAGCTAGGAAATTAAAAAACGTATTGTGATGCGAAAGTCTGCAGTTAGGGACCTCTCTAAAGTGCTGAAGTGCAAGGATGTCAGTTTGGAGACTAAGGTGCGCCTGATACATGCCATGGTCTTTGCCATCACTTGGTATGCATTGGAGAGCTGGATGATGACTAGGGAAGATAGAAGGAGAATTGATGCCTTTGAGCTGTGGTGTTAGAGAAAAGTATTGAACATACCTTGGACTGCCAGGAAAATGAACAGATTTGTCCTGGAGAGGATTAAACCAAGCTACTCCTTGGAGGCAAGGATTCTGAAACTTCGTCTGACATACTTTGGACATGTTGCAAGGAGGGACCAGTCCTTGGAGAGGGACAACACAGGAGAGGAAGACCCTCAATGAGATGGAGTGATTCAGTGACTGGGGTATTAATGGGAGAAGGTGTGTCGGAGATGGTGAGATTGTCCCAGGATAGGGCAGAGTTTAGGGCTGTTGTACATAGGATCGCTATGAGTCACAAGTGACTCGACGGCACATAACAACAACAGCAACGTACAGATTAAATTAATATGGAGAAAGGATACAACCCTGACACACATCTTTCCTAATTTTAAACCATGCAGTGTTCCCCAGTCTGTTCGCACATTAGCTTCGTAGTTTTTTGGGGTTTTTTGAAAAATTTCTTTTGTTTGTTTTATTATTTTTCTGTGAGTGTACCGTCAAATCAGATCTGACTGGTACAGGAGGAGATTGTCCCTCCTTCCCCAGCAGAGCATCTGGTGGATTCGAACCATGAGCCTCTGGGATTGTAGTTGCAGCTCTTTGCCACTAGGCCACCAGAGCTCCCCAGCTTCTTAGTTTAAGTATAGGTTTTGCATGAGCACAATTAAATGTTCTAGGATTCCTCTTATTCTCAACGTTAGCCATAATTTATTATGATCCACACAATCAAATGCATTTGCGTAGTCAATAAAGCACATAAAGAAATTCTTCTTGTATTCTTTGCTTTCAGTTAGGACCCATCTGACATCAGCAGTGATATTTCTGGTGCCAAGGCCTAGTCTAACTAAAGTCAGCTTTAATATCTAGCAGTTCTCTATGTACTGTTTTAGGTGTTTTTGACTGATTTTCAGCAGTATTTTGCTTGCATGTGATATTGATGATATTATTCAATAATTTCCACATTGTGTTGAATCACCTTTCTTTAGAATGGGAACAGATATGGATCTCTTCATCCAATCAACCAGCCAGGCAGCTGTCCTCCAGATTTCCTGGTATAGACTGGTGAGCACGTCCAGGCTGCATCTGTCATTTGAAACATGTCAGTTGGTATCCCATTAATTAATGGGGCCTTTTTTTGCATTGCCTTCAGTGCAGCTTGAACTTCTTCCTTCATTACCATTGGCTCTTGATCATATTTCTTCCTGAAATATTCCAGGACCAGCCAGTTATTTTGGTACCAGTGATTCTGTGTATTACCTCCATCATCTTTTTATTCAAGATTTTGCCCATAGCATCTCTAAGTATTGCATCTCAAGGCTTGAATTTGTTTTTCAGTTCTTTCAGCTTGAAAAATGCTGAATGAGTTCTTCCCTTTTTATACTCCAATTCTAGGTCTCTGCACATCCCATAATAGTAGTTTGCTTTGTCTTCCTCCAGCTGCCTTTTGAAATCTTCTGGTCAGCTCATTTATTTCAGCATCTTTTCTCTTTGTTTTGACATCTTAATGCTATTATGCAGTTTTCAGGGTCTCTTCTGACATCCACTTTGGTTTCTTCTTTCTTCTCTGCCTTCTTAGTGACATTTTGCTTTCTTCATGGATAATATCCTTGATGTCATCTATCTGGTCTTCAGTCATTGTGTTCAGTGCTCCAAACCTGTTCTTTTTTAACTCAGATGGGAATAGACTCAAGATCATTTTAAACTACTAAGTATCTAAAAATGGAAGCACAAGATAATAAATTAGGATATATTTCTTAGAATGTCACGACACATTGATGTTATGATACAGAGTTGTGTATACGATATAATTGAGCACATAAAAACAAACCGACATCTAACACATAGAAGTAGGAAGAAGAATGTACTGTATTAACTAATTGTACTTTTGTGGTAGGATTTTGAATGTTTTCTTCACTTCTAGTTTTAGGTATTTTTATAAATATGTCCCTCCAGTTTGAAAAAAAAAAATCATGTTATTACAATAGAAGCAACAAAACCTAAAAAATAAATGACTTGAAGATTGAAGCACAGTACTTAGATATTTTCTTTTCTCTTGACCTATTTTTGCAGTGATAGTTGTCTCAATGTCAACTTCAAATGCACTTCAGTTCTATTTTGGCATTAATGATGTATCAGTTGATGAAATCATAGAGATTTAGGTCACATTTCACTGGGTAGGGAAACAGTCCTCCAGAATGCCAAGCCTCTCCAAGACTTCAGATTCTAGCCATACATTTGGGGTTTCCTTGGCCACTCAAAACTTCTACACAGTAAGTTCCCACTTGTCCCTCAAGTTTGATAATTTACTACAGTCGTCCACAGAACTCAGAAGAGTACCACCTTTATGGTACAGTGAAAGGGATACAAAAGAAGAGATAGAGAGGGTGATGTCTGAGCAGATCTCTCTCTAATGCAGAGCTTTTGTGTTCTCAGGAATGTGTTTCACTCCTGGTGTGTGGATGCCTTACACCAACCAGTAAGCTCACCTCAGTTTCACTGTCCAGAGTTTTAATTGAGGGAGAATCATGACCATATGACTGAATTCACTTTCAAGTCCTTTATCCCCCAGAAGTCCAGCTGATAATCATAGGTGGATCTTTTTTGGATTGGCCAGCTCCCATTATAGTTCATTTCATGAACATAAGTTGTCTTGTGTGGTTTGATGTCCTCCATAAACAACAAAGGCCTTCCAGGGTTTTCGAGGTCACTTCCCATGAATCAGGACCAAAGCCCAAAATCTTTGGAAGAATCTTTCATTACACTCTTTGCAGTAGTGTTCTTCTTTGCCGCCTTAAGCTGTTACTTTACTTTGAGGTCATATGGCATGCTAACATCTCCATGTTTGGACATTTTTCCTCTCTATGCAAATGATTTAATTTAAAGTTCTTGTCAGAGTAGAGCAAGATTGCCTGTGATGGAGTGAATCTTTTCTCAGTCTTTTTTTTTCTACCTACAGTGACAGGAAAGATAACATTTGTTCTACATATTTATTCACTCTTCCTAAAAGTGACATTTCTAATAATACAAGTTTGATAATTTTGTCTTATCATGGAATTTTTCTTGCTTATCTGAGATCTGGCCCTATTCTGCTCCTGACTAATGAATTAGTGCTGTTTCTCAAACTAATATTTAATGATCATCTTTTAAAAAGTATAAATGAACTTTGTTTCAAATGAGTTTGTAAAGAAATTTTTCCCCCCTAGGTATGCAAAGAAGCCTTATCACACAGATGTCCTTGGAGGTAATATGGATCAGTCCGGAGTTCTCCTCTGGGTGAAAGCAGAACCCTTTATGGTGGGTGCCTTGCAGGTACCCCCTCCGTCCAAGTTCAGCCTTCATTATCTCAGGAAGATATCTACCTATGTGCGAACCCGGGCCACAGAGAGAGCTTACCCGCGTCTCTACTGGTCTGCATGGAGGCACATTGCATGTGGGAAGCTGCAGTTGGCGAAGGACCTGGCATGGCTCTACTTTGAAGTGTTTGATAGTCTTGTAGAGAAGACACCAGAGGAGCGTCTGGAGTGGTCTGAGATTATCTCCAGCTGCATGTCTGAGGATGAAATTGAAAAGCAGAGAAATCAGGTATAGTATCTTTTTTTTTCTGATTTTAAAGCAAAATCAATGTATGTCATTTTAGGTAGTAATTTGAGTTCATTCACCTGTGTGTATGGGTTTGTATATATTTAATTATTTTAGGAGCTAGGTCTGTGCTAGGGTGAAACCAAGTTTCTCCTTGGAGGCAAGGATTTTGAAGCACCATCTCACGTACTTTGGGCACGTGACTAGGAGGGACCAATTCTGGGAGAAGGACATTGTGCCTGGAAGGGTGGAAGGACAGTGGAAGATGACCCCAGACGAGATGGATTGACACAAGTAGGGCAAAGGGGTAGGTGTGTTGGAGTTTGTGAAACTGGCTCAGGACAGGGCAGATTTCATAGAGCTGTTGTACATAGGGTTGCTATGAGTCACAGGTGATTTGACGGCACAAAGAAACTTAGTTTTATTGATAGGTTTCTAATAGTTTTGAGAATTCTTAATTTAAAATTTTAGGGGAGAAATGTAGGAAGAAGTCAGTATTCTTAATTTTAAGACTTAACCGCATAATGACAGTAATCAAGACAGTGGTAGTTGCGGAAGAAGATATCATTGGAACAGACTAGAAACCTAAAAGCAGACCCTGACATAAATGCCCAGCTCATTTGCACAAAGATGCAAAAGCAATGCACTGGAGGAAAAATAACCTTCATTCAGTTGGACATCAGTAGACAAAAAAAAGAGAATCTCAGCCTATGTTTCCCACCTTATAAAAAAAAATTAATACTACATCATGTACTTAAATGTAAAACATAAATCTTTGCAAGAAGCTGCACAGCAATCCCAGAGGTACGTGGTTCAAATCCACCAGATGCTCCGCTGGAGAAGGAGGGGCAGTGTCCTCCTGTACCAGTCAGATACCATTGACAGTACACACACACACACACACACACACACAAAAAAAAAAATTAAAAACATAAATCTTTAAGAAAAAAAAGGAAAGGAAAAGTGAAAAATCAGAAGGAAAGTAATGAAACTGTACTGTTTCATTATGAAATAGTAATTTTTATAGAAAAATCCCAAGGAATCTATAAAAACTCCTAGAACTATTAAGTGAATTCAGTAAAATTAGAAATTATGAGTGCAATATTTATATTTATGTCGTTGTTGTTACCTGCTATCAAGTCAGAACAGACTCATTGCTGACCCTGCAGCAGGTTGTTAGAGACTAAATTGCACGGGAGAAGATTGCCTCCTTTCTCCCAAGGAGCATCTGGTGGATTGGAACCACTTGCCTTTGGATTGGCAGTGAAACTCCTTACCACTGGGCCACCGGAGCTCCCTAAATATATTCTTATATATGTATACGGAAACACAATACACACATATATATGTGTGTATAGAGACACCTGTACTATTTGTTAATACAGGAGAAAGTCTTGATCAGAGGCTAGGCAAAGAATTCTTAGAATTGACACCAACAGCACAATGCATAGCAGAAAAATTCCTACATCCAGGTATCAGAGACATACATTCCAAATGTAAGCATTTTTTTCTTTTTCGGTATGAACAAACTGTTGTGAATTGAACTTACTTTATCTGCTTAGTTGTAGACTGGTAATTATGGTTTTAGGAGCTGTGCTGATAATGTATTTCCTACTTGGACAGCTTTCTGTGGACACCCTTCAGTTCCTGCTCTTTTTATACATACAACAGTTAAACAAGGTCTCCCTGAGGACATCGTTGATTGGAGAGGAGTGGCCTAGTCCCAGGAACAGATCTCAGTCTCCTGACATAACTGACAAATCCAGTTGTCATAATAAGGTAACTGTTTAAGTTGTGGGCTCTTTCCTCTGAAAAGGAGAGTTATAAGGAAGATGGTTTATTGTCACCAAAAATTGTCTTAAAATTCTGTATCTAAGCATTAATTTGATTAATTACCCTTCCCCCTTTCTTTTCTGGTTTTAAAATCATTGTGTGTTGTTTCAATTAGATTTTGAGTTTCTTCACTGACAGCATTCATGCTTTTGGAGTCAGTCATTCTTACTAGCATTCCCATTTGTCCATGTTATTAAATTTTAATCTGCCCTATAACATGCTAGGCTAACAAAGAGGGTTTTCAAAGTCTGTTGAATCTACTGAAAAAATTTCCATAAAAATTATCTTCTCATACTACTTTATTTTCTTAGCTTATTATATGTAATGTGATAATCTGAAAACTAAAATTTAACTACTTCGTGTTGTGAGTTTTGGAAAATGTCTTATATTTCCTTTTCTTCTCTTGGCTGACATAAATTAATAACATCTAATCAGCATCCAATGTTTAAACCTCATATATTTCTCTCTCTTCCTTAGGCTGGAAAA